AAAGTAATCCTGTTGTGCATGCATTGCCATTGAATCAAAATAACAAAACATGTCATCTGGGAGGGCGCTATGCAGGCCCTCTATAGGAAAAAGTCTCAGCAGCAAACAAATGACAAACCTTTAATTTTGGAAGGGTATCAATTCTGAGGAATTTTCAAACAACTTGGTAATTTTCATCCCTTTTCTCCTTTTTGTTTGTTTCTCTCACCTCTTCCTTTCTTTCCTTTCCTTTCCTTTTTCAAAACTTTTTTCCTGGAGAAGGGTAAGTGCTCACCTTCCCCTTACCCCCATGACACCCATATACAAATGTCCTTGTAATACTGCGTACATGTACATGTACTTTTCCCATAACAGCTTCATGGTTATATTCCCCTCTTCTAACCAATCTAATCCATCCATGCACTGCTCCTGCCAGTCCTGACTAAGATCAATGGACCCTAGGCCTAATGGCCTAATCAACTCTTGATTAGCCATACATCCTCAATCACTCAGTGCATTCATCAATAAGCTGAGCAGCCAGGCTAATAATTGGGAAACAATTCAGGCCTGGCTTCCATCCTCTCACATAGCCCAAGTGCGACCTGACAAGCAATCCCATTTCCTACATCAAAACAGGCACTTCAAGTCTATCTACACAGAGAGATCAAATCTAGCTCAATCATGGGGCTTGGGTGCAATCTCCCAACGTTTGACAACTTAGTAATCGTGTAGCAGAGTATCCCCAGCCTATTTTCAAGACAAATAAAGGACACTGTTTTGCTGCTGTATGTACTCTATGTCTCCTTGGCACAACATCTCAAACAGAATAACAACTCATCACATTTCGCATCGCATAATTTTCGTATTCATGTACATGTAAATTTCTACGTGGAAATTACTCCTCCGGCAACACAAGCCCTTAAAAGGAATTTAATTTTTACAAATTTAAAACTGCAAATCACAAAATAAGGAGGGCCTGACATTTCGATCCTTGCAGACTATTTCTTAAAGGCAACAAATTCAAAATGAGAAGAGTACATTTGATCTAAATTTTGAAATGAGCATGACCCAGTGACTGCAAAGTTTACGTAGGAACATGTGTAAGAAACACTTATTGGAGCAAAAAATTACAAACAATTTGAACATAGGGCAAAGGGAAAAAATGAGCAACTTTCTCTTCAAATATCGGTAGCTAGAACTTTCAAATTTTTCTCTGTACAGAATGCATGCTCACTAGGTCAGCTATATTCTGCATCCTTATCGACCCTATATTGACTTTTCTCTTCCATTACCTGTGAGCTGAGGTACCACTGCATGTCTGGACATCTGTGGAGAACTCTCAAATTTCACCCATTCCTTTTTTACATCACTGTCGTGTCTGATCTCAGGAGATGGAGCATGAGACAATGGCACATCCTCCTCAAATGAGACCCAGTTCTTGGATGCGGCCACACCCACCGATGATGCAGATGGATGCTGGGGAGTGGTCATCTGCGAGGATGCGGGAGCACCATTCCTTGCATCCATGCTGGGATTCTTAGCTGAGTTGCGGGCAATATTCGGAGTGAGGTTGCCGTTATTGATGACATCTACTGAAGTCCCTGATGAACTGACTGGAACTCCTTCGCCATTCTTCTCAGCACTGATGCCCGCCCCGGGCATCTCAGTTTCATCAAGGGCGATGCAAGGACTGCATGGCGCAGCAGCTGTTTGGCCATTTGATGGCAATGCACGCTCTTTCCTGTCCGCCTCATGTCCTGAGGGAGTTGTGGTACTACTACATGCCTCAATGCCTCCAGACCCATTTTTGATACGAACACTGCTTGACTCATTCAAATGCTCCAGGTATTTTTGCTGGTTGTCAAGTGCATTCTGAGCATCCCCAGTCTGGCTTTTTGAGTCTTCCTTTACTCTCATTGATTCCTCTTCATTTTTTACCATAGATGCCAGGATGCCATTTTTGACATGACCTGCAGTTTGATTTACAACTTGCACATCATCAGATGTGCACTGTGATTCTTTTGCAAGGCCCCCGTCTCTAAAACTCAAAGCACTCTCATTGTTCACTGAGACTGATTGGTCCTCATTTGATGCTACATTAACATTGATGATGTCAGTCTCACCCACACTGTCCTCACACAAAAAGCTGGATACACTGCTGGTTGTAGTACTGCTGCCGGAACGCGTATCCTTACACACAGGAATCAAATCATCTTCTTGAATTTGATTTGATGAGATCTCAACGGTGTGTGCTTGTAGGCCTACGGAGCTTACGTGCGTGTCGGACGCCGTTGCCTGCAGCACTAGCGGGATGTCCCCGGTAGTGGGGTTGCTGTTGGCCATATTTGGTGGACTGCTATACTGCGTGTACATGTAATGACAAATTTCTCACACAGTTTTCCTGTATTATAGTCGACAGAGAGGTTCATCATCAAGTGAGCAAGAAATCCGTGTTCTTCACGCAATGTTCACGCCTCGTTACAATGAATAAAACAATCACATTCCTCGACATAATCAATTCGTATTTTGACGAAACAAGCCCAAGACAGGAATTTTGCAAACGTACACGTTCATAATTCGTGAATAGTGGGCGGGTTGCATTATGACAAGCAGAGCTGCGCACCTCCACTAATCGCGTGTGGACCTTGACCTAATGAACAGACACACGTGTTCGAGTATCAATGATAGCTCGGTACTTGGGCACTGAAGGCAGGGACCAGATGTTCTTGAAGTTCTCAGGTATGTGTAGGCTGATCCACTCCTTGTTTTCCGCATGATGTTTATCGTGTTCTGGATGAAATAAATGCCAAGTCTTTCCTACAATGGGCGTAGTTCCTGCATGAACGTCTCTTATTGTACTCCAGGCTAGGGTACGTCAGGGTGCCGGTACTTGTCGACTATCGATAGTCAGGCTGCTCTAGCGTAGCCAGCTAGCTCTGCTTGGTGGGTAATCTGGTTCAGTGTCTGAAAAAATACGAATATTATCAGAGTTATCCCGTTTTGCTGGTTAAGTTTTACTTCCATACTGAGAAATATGTGTTTTTCATTGTTGTACCTTCTGAGTAAAAATGAAGTGAACTTCTAATTTCTAGCTAGTTGAACTTTCTGGTTTAAAATCATCTATCACTGTAACGTTAGTTCATAGCTAACTTATGAGTAAATTACAGAGCAGGGAAACAGTACATTAAATATAAGGTTAATATGGGCAACCGCTTTACAAATCACCCTTTTCAACATTTGGCCATTTTTATCGAGACCACATGTTTAAAAAAAAAGTGATGGGAAGAGTTACATAGGCCTATACGAACATCACTTCCCACCCTGAGACTAGTCTGAAAATTTTTTTTATTTTCTATATTATTGCTTCGGTATTCTCACTGCTAAATTTGCTTTTTTAAGACATGATCACTTTCCGATGGCTTATAAATACTGCAAGGGAAAATAAGTGATGTCCATATATGGAACTTTTTACCAAAGTAATTTGTAGAGTCCCAGTTGTTTGGACTAGGTGGATTGTTGTGGGGATTGTGAATTTTGGGACCCCGTTCCTGTAACAGAACAAAGATACAGTGTATCTTACTGTTGGTGAAAGCCTCATAAGAATCTTAAAGGATCCTTTAAACAAGCTTTCATTCATCTTTTTTATCAGTTTTCTATAGGATCCTCTCGAATACATCTACAAGTTTCCAGTTCCTGCATGAATGCATAACAAGATGGCGTGCATACCAGTGACAGTAGAACCTGTCCTGTTCCTCTTTATGATGAGTCTGTTTATGATGCTGACTACCAACCAACTGCTGTTCATCCGGAAAGTCTGCGCCTCTCACTTCAACAAAACAGTGTGCTCAAACCTGAGCACCTTCAAGATGGAAGAGGATGCTATCCAGACAGAGGCATCACACTGGATTCTTTTCTTTAGCATCTGCACTAACGTCCCTGGGTCTTTCATGTCCATGTTCCTGGGAGCCACCAGCGACCGCGTAGGCCGGAAGTATATCATGCTGCTCCCACCTTTGGGCACTGCAGTTTCGGCAGCTGTGTTTGCTCTCAGCTCTTACTACCTAGCCTCTCCGTTGGGGTACATCATCTTTGCGGCACTAGCAGTTGGGTTTACTGGTGGCATGGGAACTGCCTATGTGACATTTATCAGCTACATGGCCGACATCACCAACCATGCGTCCCGCACGAAGCGCTTTGGAATCCTGGAGGCCATGGTGTTCATTGGCGGGACCGTGGGACTCCTCTGCGCCGGCATGGTCGGCAGAGTCAATCATGGCTTCACCATCATCTACCTGGTTGTTCTGTCCATCCAGATTCTGACCATGGCCTACATTGCCTGTTTCTTGGATGAGTCCCTGAAGCCCGAAAACAGGCTAGCCAGGAATGACAAGGACAAGCCGCTTGGTGCGGGCTGTTTACCAAGGCGTTGCCTGTGCTTGGGGCCCATACTAGATAGCATGCGCCGTTCCCTGACAGTGTTTTTGGCCAAGAGGCCCGGCAACAAAAGGAAGTATCTGATAACAGTTCAGGTAATCAACCTCCTCAGTGTCTTTGCAATGGCAGGTGAGAGGAATAGAACAGAAGACCTAGAGTCTGGTTGTATCAGATCATTATTTGGATATTTATAAAGATACATGAATATTTACAATTAAAATTTATCCAGCAGTCCCTGGAACAGTGGACTGCCCAAAGTTACTAAAAATTCATAGCAATACAGTAAAGGGCTTTATTCATGAGATTGTCATCCCAGATTTTGCTTCTTGGATGGGAATGTGCAAACCTAAAGATATTTCATAATGATTGCAGAGTCCCGCTCACTTTCATTTTCTGTTTTTTTAGGGGGGTGGGAGAAAGCAATGACTTTTTTGTCCACATTTAATTACATGTAATAGCCAATGGATGACTTCAGGGTCTTTTACGTGTATTTTGTCATTCTTGTTGAAAGCATTGCCTCACAGTTGACTATAGACTTCCTGTTACCAAAAAGTTGTGAATTTAGCAAATTGGCTGGGTAGTTTTAGAAAGTCCAGTGACTAGATATTGGTTTGGGTAGTGGATCTGAATAGAGACTGCCTGTTGGCTTTTGTGTGGGATTATATTACCTTGCTACATGTACCACTATGCTTCAATAGAACCGACAGGATTGCTTCTGAATAGCAACAATCTGAGAATTTACTCATGCCATTTTGATTTGTCACTGCTAAATTTAAAGATATACCATGTGTTACTAAAACATTCCCACATCACCGACACTCTGTCTAAATATGGAAACATAATTGATTTTATAAAGTTCTTAATTGTTTTCTGAGTCTTTTTTACTGTTTTGCTTTCAAGGATTATCCATTCCTTTAAGGGGCATGACCCTGTATTTCTGATTATCCTCCATTTCATAGGAGAAATGGATCTGCTGGTGCTCTTCACCAAGCATTCCCCTCTCAGCTGGGACGTGACGACCATCGGGATCTTCATGGCCCTGAAGAACACCCTGAAGGGGGCAGTGCTTATAGTCCTGCTGCCGCTGCTCTTCCGCTGCATCGGCAAGGAACGTGTCATCCATAGGGACATGGTGCTGGCACAGGTGGGCCTAGTCTCCAGCATCCTCGGCCTGGTCAATGTAGCATTCTCCAGGCACACAGCAATCATGATGCTGGGTTAGTAACAACAGCACTTCTATCTTAACGCATACAAATGTAATCTTCATTGTTATCCCACTCATATTTGCCTTTAGTCACTTTGCTGAGAGTTTTGAAGTACTTTCATAATGGACAACAATGCCAAGAATAGAGAGGTAAATCCTAATGGAATCTATATTGGGAAAGAAGTTTTCTTTACAAAGATATTTTGTGGAAATTGGAGTTTACTGTAGGATTTGACCATGTTAACTGCCAGACCAACACGTATGTAGTGTTTTATAGTGGTGGATCATGTTGTTTTCTTTTGAAAACAAGAATGTATAAGAAAAGTGGGTTCTGGAACCATCCCTGAATGTTCTGGTGAGAGCAGTTTTTGAAAGAAATTGACCATTTTGTGTACTTGGGTTATGTACGTACATGTACATGTGCCTACCTTACTTCCATCACCATCTGCAATACATGTATTGCAGTTTCTTTGAGTGAATCTCAATTTTTATAGAGGAGAGACACAGAAAAATGTGACAAGCATGCAGTCTTATACAACTATCAGAACCTCCTTTTTTGCTCCGTCTACTGAGGTTGTAAGAGGTGGGTATCAGCAGTGCTTGAATCAAATATTTTCGTTTTATGTTTTTTCAGTTCCTTTGGTTGGATGTTTGTCTGGCTTTACGGGAGCTGTCCTAAGTTCCTTTAAGACACAGTTGGTTGAACCCAATGAATTTGGTAAGAATGGCTTTGTTTGACGTTGGATCTTGATCAGTGTGAAGTACAATAAACTCCCTTATTGAATGTGGTCGTTGTAGATATACGGGGTAGGGGACTTGGGTGGTAAAGCCCTGCTTCCTTTCATTAGCATTGTTTGTCGCCATTGTAATGCCCGTTGTAACTGTACAGTTTTTGGCCTTCTAGGTGGGATGTTTGCCTGCACGTCCTTCCTAGATACCTGTTTACAAGTGGCTGGCTCTCTCCTTTTCAACACCCTCTACCCAGCGACCCTTCACATCTGGCCTGGGTTCTCCTTCCTGATAATGGCAGCCATTTACATTGTGTCACTCATAATTGTCATGTGAGTGCATTGCTGTCTTTAAATGAGAGATAATAGTTAATAACAGGACAAAAGTTTACAAATTACACCTGTTCTCTGAATGAAAAACATATTTTGGACTGATAATGATAATTTATAAAGTTGAAGAAAATTGTACTGACGGTGGAACAATGGGCAACATATAAAGCCTACATAACACACGTGCATGCTTCCATAGGTGACCATATTGACCATCTGCCTAGCACACGTATGCAACACTGGCGACCCAGGTGCGGGTGAACTTTGCATTATAATTGCTGTAAATCCGGGAGATTTGACCTTCAAAATATCACCAAAACCAAAGCAGATTCTCAGAAATATCTGATACGTATCTCGCTCGTTTTGATCCATTGTAGATGCAATGTTAGGAAGTGTCCACTGGCATAATGTTGGTTCCAATTTACTTCCCATTCACTTTTGAATGTACAGATGGCTTCAGTGGGATATGAAGAAGGCAATCAAAGAAGGCAAGAATGGTGAGACACTTGGATAAATTTCAGTTTCCATTCACAGCAATATTTGCCAAATGAAACCTGCAATTTTATTTTCATCTACAATACTGGCATTTTAATTCAGAAAAGACTCTACCTCATTACACCAAAGCGCCGATATAAGCATTGTTGAAAGGGTTCCTTAATTTCACCTAATCCAACATCTTTTACTGACTGAATTTACATTTGATTTCTCCTGTCCTTCCCATTGATAAATGTCAATTCTCTTCAAAATTCCTGGCTGACTAGTAAGGAGTTAAGCTTGGCATCAAGTTTGACGTCCAATTTCAACATAAATTTGCCCCATAATATTCACTTCATGAATCTATTGCTCAAAAACAAATCAAATAGCATTTCAATTCTGACATTTGCTGACAGCCACAATGAATTTTACATTGTGCTGTTTGTCCTTCCCAATGTTTATAACACTATACTCAGAGTCATCCAAAGGCTTGTAAACAAATTGGCAAGCTTACTCAGGTAGGATTCGAACCCCCAACCCTCTGCTTGAAACATCTTACCAAATGACCACTGAGCTTGCCACAGTCAGCCAGCTGGTTGGGGTCATATAAGTTGGTACTACAAGCAAACATTTCACAAGATGTAAATGAAGACAAATGAAATTAATATCCCCCTTTGGCATTTTATATTTATAAACTTAAAAGTGAACTAATGCTACATCCATGGCTAATGCAATTTTTGAAATTCAAAGATTTAGGGCATAAGAGGCTACTAGACGAATCTGACGACGAAGAGGAGGATGCTGTGTACATGACATCACTTCCTGCACCCCTTGAAGTAGACAGCATTGGTATTTGATATATGTACAGTGTACAGTCTATAGTGGGTAATGTAGAACCAAACAAGAGTCCGCCATCATGGCCAATGATTTAAAACAAAAATAGGTTTGTTACAGTTGCCTGCATTGGTTTGTACTGTTGCCTGCACTGGTTTGTACTGTTGCCTGCACTGGTTTGTACTGTTCCATAATCAGGAGATTTGTTGCAATTGTACAAACAGCTCCTTTTTTGCAAATGTACTAATTTTACCCAGAAGACTTTCTTGAGCAATTCTTCCAAAGCCTTTAAGATTACTTGGAATGGACACAGCACAAAATTGACAGTGCACATTACTAGTGTCAGTTACCTATATACAGTGTGCAGGTCTTTGTTTTGTTTGTTTGCTGTTTTTTCTTAATCAAATTGGATAAAAAACATGTAGCTTTATACAAATTGGTGCGTAAACAGTACTGCAAAACATGGCAAAGTCCAAAGTTTTCAAAATTTGGTACTTAACAAGATTTGTTCTTCCACTTTGCTGCTACCTGCTACCTGGAGTGTTATTTGTCAAATCGTCCTGTAACTGCAGCTGAAATACACGGGTGAAGATCATATCAATGTGTTTGTTGCCAGTTCAGGATGAAACTCTTCCCTTTATAGACCTAGGCATCGTCTTTTGCTGTTTTGGACATATCCACTTTCATAAAGCTGCAAACAAAGCCAGACAGAGTGATCATTGGTTAATGTTCAACAAAACAATTCTGAAACACATGCTCAGAGTGTGCTTTGCTTTTCTTTTTTTTTTTTAGAATAGTCTTTTTGACTTTAAAACACCTTTTAAAACCCCTTTTAACTGAAGCCTTCCTTGAGAAAACATTAATTATGGATGTGCTTCTTAACGTACTGCTCTCACTATTACATTCTTTTTTCATAATACCGGTAGTTGACCTTATGCACAATGTGATATTTTCCATTTTGCCTCAAAATGGTCATGAGTGAAGTGCCCTCTGTTGATGGGAAATTGATGACATAAGAGCAAACTAAATTTGCCTTTTCACTAGTAAATTCATAATTACAGACGAATGCGCACAAATAGCCTTGGCAGCAAGAAGTGTGAGCAGACCAGTAAAAGCATACAGGGCTGCGATTTTGATAATTTTTTCTCAGGTTTCCGTCTTTGTTCAGTTTTTTTCTTCAGAAAATCCTTTAAATCATTTTGGCTACAAGTTTTTAATCTAAGCAGGATTTTAGTGCTCTGTAAAAAGACTTTTCAATCGTGAATTTTCCTGTGCGCACGAGATTGCCATATCTAAGCCGGTCTCCTTTCGTGCTGTTATATAGGAAAAATGATTTAATGAGATTTTCTGAAGAGAAAATGATCACAATTGAACCCTTGCACATTTCCAGTGGCCCGCTCACACTTCTTGCTGTCAAGGCCATTTGTGCGCATGCATGCATAATCATGAATTTATTAGTGAAAAGGTCTATAAAGGACTGAATCTTGGTGTCGGTTGCCATGGTGATGGCTCCACATATTGATAACATGTAGTCGACTGGAACATCTGTTGCAAAAGCAATTGGAAATGGTCAAGTGAATTTCGTGTGGAACCATTACCTTGGCAACAGATAAAAGATGAAGTAGAAGATGAGATATTCACTTCTTCCCTGTCTTGTCAACAGTGCCACTGCTCTTTCAGTGTGAATATGTATAAGTTCATACGTTATAAGCTGAATTGTAAAAGTTGCTCTGAAATTTAAAAGTGTATTTTCATTCATCCGTTTTGTACTGCAAGGTATTTAAACAAAACAATTGATGACAGTGATATATTTTTAATTATTCAATTTTAAAGATGGTCGTGAGATTGTTGCTTTTTTAAAAGGCTGTGATTTAGTTTCCTGATTTTCAGGTAGAAAAAATTTGAAACTTTAATGTCTACAGTTTTCACAGTTCTAAGAATCCGGGACCAATTCCAACTCTACGGCGTTGCTAAGCACTTGATTTTACATTAACAGAGGTTCCGGGTATTTCATGGAGAACATAAAGCCAAAGGAACGCTTACCTCGTAGAAAAGACTTGCTCAACAAAGTGACAAAACAATGCGACCGTAGGCACAACCACGCTAAGAGCCACCCTTAAATAGTGCTTAACTGTTAGCAAATTTTTCGGCTTTGCAAGCATAAGTTTTCTACTCATTGTTTTGAGCAGATGCGGGAAATTGGGCCCTGATCTTGCTGCAAATTTTCGAGCTTGTTTCAAGTTATGCCATGTTGTACTGCTCATTTATTTTTAATAAATAACTTTTTTAATAATTTAAATCATTTATATAATAGAAATCTAGTATTTAAATGCTATTTATTAAAATGAGTTGAAAGCCAGAGATTCTATTGATTGATATTGCATAAACATGCTCACTTAGTTATATAAAACATGTCTGTATATTATTGTATTTTATTTTATTGTATGAAATAAAACCGTTTGCTCGTTTTTACTCCTGTCAACTTTAATATATGCACAAACTAATATCCAATCAGTGCAAGTTACTCACGCGATAAGGACCATAGGTATTGTGTACATGACGGCTTGTATGAGGAAGGCTAACCCGGGAGTGGACGCAGACGTCCAAGAATACACCGTGGTGAAGATGACTGTGCCGGCTGGCATGGCCAGGTTATTCAGGAAGGACGAAAATGATGAAAAGGCTCCTGGAAAAGATTACAAAAGTTTCGTCTCGTGTGAACAGATACAAGTGATCCATTCCATCCCATTCGAAAGTTCTGCAGCAGATTGTCCCAAAGTTCTGTTGCAGTTTGTCCCAAAGTTCTGTTGCAAATTGTCCCATGGCAAAGATTGGGTATATTCAAGATGAACAGAGATACGCACTTTGAACGTTTCTCGGTGCATGAGTTTTACTTGCATTTTTTACCGAACAAAACACTTAAGAGTCATCTACACCGATTTCATACCCTTCTCTGTTGGGTGGACAAGTTTGGAAGAAAGAGACCCACTGGCGGCTTGTGCAGGTCCCGACAAGGAGTTCATCATTGGAACTGAAGAAAAGACACGACAATGTAAACACAGTACAGTGATTCAACAGTTTGGACCTCTAAGATCCTCTCTATTATCAAAACAGAGAAGGTATTTGCAGGCTCTAAATTATCATTTAAATAATGTTATTCAAACAGCTGTATTTTAAAGTTTCAGACAATTTCCAGAATGTTTACTATATCGCTATTCCATTAAAAAGTGTTAAATTCTTCGGTAATCTCTATAGGCTTAGTCACATTTATATTAAAGGAACATAGCAGAATGCCATCAATTGATACGAGCGATCGCTCGATCTTTGTGCGATAAATTAGTGTTCGCCGGTAATTCAGTCACAGCAGATTACATTTCCTCTCTAATTCACATCGTGCAAGACTGTTTCAAAATAGAAGTAAAGTTGGATATTTCATACAGGATCGACCAATCGCGCAGAGCGATCGGCCGATCGCGCTCAACAAATACACACTTGGGTTAAGTGAAACCCCATCACCAGTGGCAACTGACTCCAGAATCACGTTTAATGTATGACCGGAGATGCCATTTGCATACCCAGAATCAAATGATATGAACTGGTTGCGGCCGACATCACCAGCGATCCCACGGTGAGAGCAAGGTAGCCAATCTGCATCAGTGTCAGGTCATCACGCGACGAGCCTCCGGTCCCGACCAGCTTCAATAGAATCTTAGTGCCAAGGGCCATACCAAGGATCTGACCGATGTTCTTGGCAGCGGTGAAGTAGCCGAACACCGTCTGCTCCCAATGGAACGGCGCCCGCCTGGTGTACATAACTGTCAAGCCCATGTCGGCTGCCCAACGAAAATACATGCAAGTGCGGAGTTGAGGTCAATTTTGACTACCCTCCTTTCAGGCTATAGAAGAACCTTATTTTTGTCTAATGTTGGAGTGATGGCAGGATCGACCAGCAATTTCGACAAGGTAAAATTGGCGCAAAGCGATTTTATCTTGTTAAATTGCCAATTGCGTCCGTTTTAGGACACAGATGGTCGGTAGTTGCTACTTTGTGAGAGCTTGCGAGAGAACCCGGCCACTGGCACTCTATCCATTTTTTCTCTCCCTCTTTCTATGACTCTATCCAACTTTTACCCCCCACAGCTTTCCGTTGCCATAGTGACCATCCGAGATGCAGAATAGCAAGTTGGATGCCACTTCATTGAGAATTGAAAGTACCAGAGTTTTAGAAACAATGCTGCCACCTGATCGGGGTGAGGATCCTTATACAGGTGAACAAGGGAAAGTCTGGTTAAAAGACAAAATCCATTCCCCCTAGCGCATGAGACCTGCATAGCTTATGACAACAAAGGAGTATGCAGGCTGTGTATTAGTCTTTCCTTAGCAAGCTTTTTTTCAAGTAGTCTTTTGAAAGCACAGCGCTATTAGTATAATCTGGTTTGTGAACACTTTTGTTATTATATTTATTTTCAAAGGAAGGAAACCAAGAGAATGAGTTTGTTGTCTGAAAGAATAACACAATATAAATTACATGGCTGATAAACAAAGAACTTTTAATTGTAATTCAGTTTTTGTATGTGTGTATGTAATTCTTGTGCTTTTGTAAGCTTGATGTTGATAAAGTGTTGTCTATTTTTCTTCGTGAACTATAATTTTTGTTAACTATCATGTATGTATGTTTGTAATTCCTGTAATCACAGAAATGATGTCAATGCGGAACAGAATTTAATATTGAAGAATTGCACTGAATTCAAATCGGCTGTATGTCTTTTCCTCCCGCCGATGTTTACATTTGTGCACAAACGTCGTTGTTAATTGTTAAGTTTTCTCAAACTCTAAACAATTCGGATATTAATGCCACTTCAAGAAAAACATACCTCCTACGCCAATCATGGAAATGACCCCAAAGAGGACCAGGAAGAGGATGTGTTTCCTCTTGGTAGCGGGCCTGGGCTTCAGACATGTCTTTACACCTGCAGTGAGGCTCCTCATCATTCCAGCAATCAACCCCAGCCTAGAAGAAGGTGCCGCGGGATCCTCGGGCGGGACTCCCGCTGAGTCCTGCATACACGTTGCCGCCAGAACCAGCACTGTGACCTGGGTGCCAAGGAAAATTACATATACCACTCCGAAGCCGAGATGCTTGGAAACCACGCCCGACAACAACATGCCAAAAATGGTGCCAAGACCGGCGAACGGCTGTACGACACTGAGTTGACTGGTGCGTTCGTTCGCCGGGGTGCTGTCGGTGATGTAATTGAATAGAGTAACCAGAAATGTCCCCATGCCCCCACTCAGTCCCATGGCCGCAGAGCTGACGAGGAGCAAAGTGGGCCTCAGGCCGGTCAATGTTGTCTGCAGGATGAGGCAGAGCGACATTGCAATCCCACCGAGGCAGGTCAGCATCAGCACGGTCCCCCTGCCGAGGCGATCACTCACCGACCCCAGGAACAGGGAGCTGAAGGCCATGATGGTCCCCGTGATGCTAGGCATGGTCATCACCCAGAAGGCCGCTGCATCCTGAATCTCCTCTTCGATCTCTGGATGAGTGGTGAGGGAGTCGCACACTTCACGACCATGCAGACCCTGACAGGATTTGTCGAGGATGAGGTTCTGCGTGACGGGCCATTGCATCACGATGCCAAATGTGTACAGGAACAATGCCACTTTGGTAACGTGACGATGTAGAAACCCGTCCAGATGTGCCATATTTATGAAAATTATGCTAAAGACCTTCTCTTCCCAACCTCAATGACCTTAAGAGAGATTTGATTGGTGAAATTCTGAACGTTTCACGAGTAATGTCAGCTCTGACTAGAAGGATCATGAACGTTGATTTTCCTGTGTACCTTTGATTTGAGTGCCTCGCTTATTTTATACTACACGCATGTTTAAAGCGCATACCCTTACATTTTTATATATCGCCATGTACGAGCAGTTGGTTGTTAATACATCAAAGATAAGCACTATTTGGAAAACAAAATGGGAAGACCTCGTAAACGGATAGAGAAATATACCGGTATAAGTAACACATCGTTTCCAATATGTCCAACACCCCGACATTTCGAAAGCGCCACTGTAAGATAGACACTACAGATTTAAATAGGGTATGGAATTGCGACGAAAGAACGGATAGTGATTCCTGTATATACACGAGGAACTTCCCACAAATCATTTTAGAGACTTTATCTGTTTGACGATATAGGCCAGTACATGTATATTTAAGGTATACGTCTTGCTTGAAGTCTCCATTCCCTAAAATAGATGCCTGGAGTGGTGATTTATGTGGGCATGCAAGACAAGGGTCACATTGAATGACTTGCCGGGGTTTATAGCCATGCTTTGCAGGATATCGGATAAAAATGTCGAATATTGCTTGTAGCATGCAAATGGAAACAGTTCTGAGATATCTTAGAAAGAATTTTCGGAGATCTTGAAAAAGAGATTCCGAGACATCTCCTAAAAGGATTTAAATGGAACATGAAATGGACTTCGAAATATCTTGAAAATGGATTTCGAGATGTATCTTGAAATCGATCTTGAAATGGATTCCAAGATCTCTTGGCTACTCTCAGTAAAAGGAGAGCTAGGTTCAGTTCTCCTTCTACACGGTGGCTCACCTCGGTGGTACCGTCTACATGGCCCGCTCATCCTTCTGAAGAGTGACACATCTGTCTATATCGGCCCGTTCTTTCTCGGGTGGCCCACATCCGTAAACCGTCGGTCCGTTCCTTCAACGGGGTTGCCCACCTCTATTGTATTAAATGGTCTTTGGACTAAAATGTTTACTCACACGGATGGCCTTGTACTTTCTAATAGCACCGTGATGCTTTGAGTATCCACTTCTTGGTTACAGAAAAGGTATAGTAAACCAATGTTCATATTCAGTGCGTTTAAGGAGAATCAGAATGCTACAATCTAAATTATACTTATATGATATCCATCATTGACATTTTTGAAATTTGAAATTGAGTTCAGCGATTTCGAGGGAAGATATTCAAGTATTGTTCTGGGGAATGTTTGTGACATGGGTGTTGAAATAACTATGAAAGCGTAAAATAAATTAATGTTTAAAACTTCTTCTTTTTTGCGTACTGCAACAACCTCCAGCATGGCGTATTTTAAGTTGCAGGTGCGTGGTGGGTAGCTGACTCTAATACACGTGGTGAATGCCTCTTATTAATGCTAATGTATCAATACTATAGACAGTTTTGTTTTGAAAGTATCAATCTTTGAAGCTTCCCTTAGTTTGGCCGGTAAATGATTCCATTCCACAAGGGTCTTGGGTATGAAGGAGAATTTGTAACAGTCTTTTGTGCCGATTGATTGATAGGAAAAGGAACCAGAGGATTTTTGTTGTGTTGTAATGCCCTCTTTTTCAGATTTAAACCGGTAATGATCTGTGCTCAATGATACTTGGTAATGGCTGGATGGATACAGTGAGCCTATTGATGGTTCTACGCTCCTCCAGAGATTTACGTCCCAGGTTTTGAATCATTGAGGAAATACTGCTTTATGTCGAAAATCTTTGCATACAAATCTTGCTGCCCTCCGCTGGACTGCTTTAGTCTACTTTTGTGATCTTGATGGTACGGATCCAAGATACTAGCACAATATTCTAGCTTAGGTCTGACTAGGGTTTTGTAGGCCATTTCCTTCACCCTTGGAGAGTAGCTGCTGAGATTTCTAGAGAGTAACCCAATCATACGATCAGCCCAACTCAGTTTATGATTTATTTCTACTCCCAGGTAAGTATGGCTGTTAGTCTCCTCGAGTGGTTTTTCCATTCGTCGTGTAGGCAGACAGCACAGGTTTTTTTTGTTGTGGGTAATATGCATAGTATAACATTTTGCAATGTTAAATTTCATCTCCCAACTTGACTCCCATTTAGTGAGCATACTTATGTCGTCTTGTAGAGCTTGAGAATCATTTCTTGTCTTCATTTCTTGGTACAGGATACAGTCATCTGTTAGGAGCCTAACTTGCGATGTAATTCCTGAGGTAAGGTCGTTAAGGTATACAGTATGAAAAGCAATGGCCCCAGGACAGGAATTGTGGTACTCAGAGGTTACTTCTGTTGGTGATGAAGAGACTATTTCCAAAACAACGTTCTGTGATTTTTGGTATGAAAGATTCTGACCCTTTCGAACCAGAGATCCTGGCTTGTTAGAGTTTCAGTAGGAGCAGTTGGTGTGGTATGCGGTCAAAAGCCTCAATAAAATCCATTATAAAGACATCAGTTTGCCCTTTTCTGTCAACAATCTCGTTCAGATCATTGATGGTCAATTGGGTTTAACATGATCTTCCCTTTCAGAATCCGTGTTGATCATCATTTTTAAACGTCATGTTTGTCAAAGTCTTTCATTATGCTGAGTGAATTTGCGCTCAAGGAGCTTGCAAGGATCGGTGTTCAGGATACTGGTCGATAATTTGCAGGGTCAGATCGATTTCCTTTTTTAAAGACTGAAGTCACATTTGCAGTCAGTCAGTCTTCGGGGAGTTCCCCCAGTGGATAAGGACTTCTGACAGATCTGCTGTATTAATGGGGCAATAGCAGTAGCACATTCCTTTAGTACTCTAAGCATGATGTTATCAGGGCCTGGTACTTTCTGTGGTTTCAGGTTTTTCAGTAATTTTAAAATGCCCTCGGTTGTTACAGTAATCGGAGACATTTGAGGTGTTTCCTTTGATGTCCGTGATGGCAGGGTACTACTTTCCTCTTCGGTAAAAACTGACTGGAATTGGTTATTTAAGGTTTCCGCTTTCTCAAACGCAGATGTAGCAGCTCCTTTAGCTCTGTTGAGATATGGCACCCCAGTGGAGACCTGCCTCAAACATTTTATATAACTCCAGAAAGGCTTGGTGGTGTTTGTGATCAAATTTTCTCCACTACCATGAAGGTACTCTCTACGAGATTTCCTTAAACTGCGGTCTAAAGTACGACGAAGATTTCTAAATATTTCCCAGTCAGAGTTCAGGTCAGACTTAATTGCCTTGTCATATAGCTCGCTGCTTTGGTTTCAGCATTTTTGTGTGTGAGAGAATGATTAGACCAAGGTAAACCATCATTTTGGTTTACCATCTTTGAAGGGATGCGCCAATCCACAGCAGAAGTCAAGGCTTGCTTAAAATTTACCAATAATTGGTTTACGGATAAGCTAACTTCTTCGGTGACAGACGCGAAGTATCTTGTCAGGCCCTGTTGGATTTGTCCGAACTTTCCCTCTTTGAAGATATAGATCTTCCTTCGAGGCTGCTTAATTTTCTGAGATGATAAGAGAAACTCAAGTGACACAATCTCATGATCTGAGATGCCAGGAAGGATGCTTACATTTTAAGGGAACATTTTGTAAATACAAGGTCCAAGATCTTTCCTTTTCTTGTTGGGCTTGTAACAACTTGATGCAGATTTTGATCCTGAATTATGTTTTTCCCATAACGCTTTCTGTAAAAGGCCCAAACCGATTCACAATCTGTCTGTAAGTCCGGTTCTTCCTTTGCTATCTAATCTGCCTTCATAGCCAAAAATACACCACCGCCTGTATTATAAGACATCCTGTCTCTGAGGGACAGCTTATAATGCTCGGTCAAAAATTCTCTTGTATGCGTTGAGGCTTGTAACCAGGTTTCTGTCCCTACAAGAATATCTGGATCTTCTGTTTCGAGCAATGCTTGGAACTTGGCGATTTTATTATTAATACTCTGAAAGTTAATGCTTATTCTTTTCAGCGGCTTGTTTTGACGATGCAGCTTTCCACAATCTGCCTTACCTTTGTATCACGGTTTCTCGGGGCTAGAAGATAATAAGGGTCTACCAAAAGTTTCACGTTTGGAATTACAAGTATCAATTCTATTCAGGTTTTCATCATCCGTATCGTTATTGATCGCACTAGAACTGATAAATGAGTTGGAAGTGTCGTGACAAACAAAAAAGAGACGAGTTTGAGAAATTTGGTAGGCCGCATCCGCAGCATAACCACGAATAAGAATTATGTTTCATATGCACCAGGTAGATGACATCATCCATGCTTGTACACTTCGTATATGGAACCATGTAAGGCATTGTTCACGTTCAAAGGCTTTTTGATTTGAGCTAACGCTTTTTTTCTACAGATTCCACAAGGATAGCTGGGGGGGTGGAAGGTCTGGGTCCCGGATTTGGTTGGATATCGCCTGAGATGAGCAGGGCAATTCTTGCCAAAGCATGTCCTGTTTTTCGTTGGGCCTATTTGGCAAAAATCCTGCCATTTTGCTTCACATATGGATGGAGGTTTAGAAATCTGGAAAGAGCTCACCCAATCGTAGGTGTTGTACTTTACCGAAGTAGAAAATGAGCTCCTGAAATCCGGCTGCAAGGTTTGAAGCAACTTGAATTTGAGAGTAAAGAAAGTACGGCGTAGATCCGTAACAGCGTGATGTAGCGCTCCTCCGTAGTACTTGGTGCATGTACAGGCTTTACACACAGTAAGATTGAAAAATCCAAAAATACGTAAAAATCGGTCTTAGACGCAACTTTAGAACTCCGAAAGGCACAAAGCAGTCTTAAAAACCACAAACGATTAGACTAAAAGAGACGTTGCTGGATTAAAAAGGTGATAAAACTGATAAAAATCCCCGGAAACGGTAAGAAAGAAAAACGTCAGCCAGCCAACCACGCAGCGCCCTCACTACATGTCAATGACTAACTCGAACCCTTTGGTGCTCCCAATAATTTCCCAACAGATTGACTTATACCTTTGAAAACCCGCAAAATCCACGTAAAACCGCGCACTCGTGACTCGTCCACCACCTTTACGAATCTTTGATACGTTGGTTCTATTGAATAATAGACGTTGGCACAGAAAGGATAAGTATGGCATGTCGGCTTATTGTGTTTCTACGCAGGCCAGGCCAACAAAAGATTAGCTCTGCAGCAAGCATTCACCGGCTAAGTCCGATATGAATACCGAGGTGTGTTTTGTACCATATAAAGCATGGTCGTGTGACTGTCACCGACTCTCGTCTGTATCTGGAGCTGTACTGTAAGTCACACAACACAGAATTTCCCTTCCGGATACAGGTACATGTTACGATTACCACGTGCTTGGATTTCAGGTAAACCGCAGGAGGTATATGTGATGTTCTCGTAGGCATACTGCATTGGACTACAGAGGTATTGGGACTCCCACAATATTTCGAAAAAGCACCCGATGGTTCATTTGCTCCTACAGAAGCTGAATACATGTATAACCCTGAACAGATTGTGTCCGGATTTTTGAAAGCATTCCAAGTGCACGTACTACGCCTATTGTATTTGGTTTTTCTAAAGCTTAGCATTTCACCAATCCACGGAACTATAAAAAAGGAGTAGAGCTGGATTGTAACGCGTGCAAGGAGTGTGTTTGTTGCGTTTTGTGTTACTGCAGACATAGGTGATTTAACCCTGCGTTGCAATCAGGACTGCGTGGATTGTGACCCAAAATGTCGCCTTCTGGTAGGCCCTAAATAGAGTCTATGTTACTCTGTCCCAACTGTCCCTGTTACAACTGTCCCAACTAATTGTGACAGCCAACTATAATTTGGACAGTGCTATACTTGACGCAGGACAAGTTCATGTCGAAACTGATTTGCCAAACCCAAACAATTAAGGTTGTAGTAGTTTTCCTCAGGATTAATCCCTGGAGTTCATGTTCACTAAAACGCGGCAACTCGGTGTTGACAACTTCAGAAGTGAACATGTATTGGTCGGTCATGTAACATGCATACAACATGAATTCTTCCCAATTGCTTCAAACGATTTTGTCAATACTCGGGGAACAACCCTTCAGTAGAGTGAATGACACCTGGGCCGTTTTCCAATACTCGACTTGGGCTCCGTTTCAGGCTTCAACTGTTTTTTTACTTGATGACTTTGAGGTTATAAGCGCAATTGTAAGTCTGAGAGTGCCACAAAACATCAAGTAAGGTGCAAAAGAGTGAAAAATTACAGTATTTCAATTTAAGTTAAACTCTTCAGGCCCACAATCGAGGATTGGTTTCCTACACGAAGCCTGAGACGGAGACGAAGTTGAGTATTGGAAAACGGCCCTGGATTAGATCGGGTGTAAAAGTGCGCTGCACCAACCAAAACTGATACGATCCAAATAGGTCTACAGTAGATTGGAAAGTGCGACGGCTACAGAGTAATTCCAACAACTGCAACAATCAATCAGTCGGCATCGTGCGCCGGTATAGTCAACCTGTTTCATACGTCGAACTTTCATGCGTAGGGCCGACTTAATTAAATCTCTGCAATTGGTTCGGCGCGATTCTGGTACACCACTCTGAACTGGGTGTTTAAATCTTTTCATGAGATTTTATTGTTATTATTCATGATATTTGACAGATTTTAAGTGCCAAGATGACCTTCTGGTATTTGAACCTCGTCACAGTCGAACCTGTGCTCTTTCTCTTCACCATGTCTCTCTTCATGCAATACCCGGTCACCCAGCTGCTTGTGCTCCACAAGGTTTGCCTGTCAATACACAACAGTACCGCAGTATGTGCCAACATCAGCGAAGATGCAGACGAAGAGAATGAGGTGCAGTCTACGGCGGCTCATTGGAACCTGTACCTGACAATAGCCATCAACCTCCCAGGCGCACTCATGTCGGTTATTTACGGTGCCATCAGCGACCAAGTCGGCCGGAGGGGCGTCATGGTCCTGCCCTCTGTTGGACTAATTCTAGGTTCAGTGGGCTTCTTCCTGCAGTCCCACTTCATCCACGCTCACGTGGCTTATCTCCTACCCAGTGCCTTGATCATTGGCGTCTTTGGTAATGTCGGAGCTTCGTACATAGCGCTGATGAGCCACATATGCGACATCACCGAGGTGTCGAGTCGCACTAAACGACTTGGAATCATGGAATCCATGAGTTTCATCGGGGGACCCATCGGCATGATGGCGGCGGGGGCTATGGTGCAGCATCACGGCTTTGAAGTCGTATACTTGCTCATTATCGCATTGAATTCAGTCATCGTCCTCTATATTGCACTCAGACTTGAAGAGCCATCGAAGAGGTCAGTGAAATCCGATAAAAAATTGAGGAGTATATCACATGTATGGCTGCGCAGAATGTGTCGCCATGTTTCCAGCAGCCTACTTCGAACGTTGAGAGTCTACTTCATTAAGCGAGAAGATAAAAGGAGACGGTACCTGTTGATCATCCAACTGATTGGTATACTGGGCATTGTTGCATTTGCAGGTGAGTTTAGACGTCAGGTTGAAAGGATTATCAGTAGGAAGTAGTTTTGTTTTGTGGATGCGCAAACTTGGAGAAACTATCTCGTGATTTCTTGTAAAATGCTATGACACCCATGTTTTGAAAATTCTTTGAGCCATTTTGAACGGATTTTGCTTAAAATGTCCGACTCAGGAAATCAAGTAAGTCATCATGCGTGAACTGCATTAAGAGATATGACAGATGATAATGCCACGACGCAACGTTAATCTCTTTTCAAACCATTAATATTCTTTTTTATGAAAAGGGGAGTTGGACCTGTTTATCTTGTACACCAAACATTCTCCTCTGACCTGGTCAGCTAGTACCATCGGGATCTATCTCTCTGTCAGGACTCTTCTAAAGGGGGTGCCTCTGGCCATCGGTCTGCCGATACTTTTCGGGTACTTCCGACACCGCTCGGTGAGGTTCGACCTGGTCCTGGCCATGTTGGGTCTGGTTTCCGTCGCTGCGTCCATGATTCTCGTGGCTTTCTCGCATAGTATGTTCATGATGGCGCTAGGTACGATCTCTGATTTGTTAAAGAAATTTGTCAATAATCAGAACATTTCAACCCTCTTTAACCATTTGTCTAAAAGAGTCAAGTTCTCATTCTAATGGACGATACTATGATCTCTAAGCACTCCTGACTACATGTGCATTTCTTATGTGCATCTTTCTAGGCCTGCGATTTTTTTCTCTGTGTTAAGATATTTTTAAGGGCAACAAGTTTCATCGATTAAAAATAAAGATTTGTAATTGGACTAGAGAATAAAAAGTTATATTCGATTAATTTGGGACTAATTGATTACATACTTTCCCTCTTTCAATTTTATTTAGTGGCTGGTATAGGCTGCCTGTCTGGATACCCAGGAGCGATCATGGGATCGATCAAGTCCAAACTCGTCCAACCCGACGAATTCGGTAATGGTCCATATATCACGCAATACCTTATGAACCAGGACAATAGAGTCTGGTTTGTGGTATCGTAGTCTTTCCGCCGATTTTAAATTATGAATCTTAGAAATGTTGTAATGATTGAAATCATTGGTACATCCTTAGCGAGCCAACAGGTGCCACGCCCCTCCCCCAAAATGGGAGATGTTTCGTTTGAAATACAATGTTTGGAACAATATCCTTTCCTTCCCAAAGCCTGTAAAAATCCTGGAAATGTAACTTCGGTTCTCGAACAGGCCATAAAATTTTACATATAAAGAAATATCCTCTCCTCAAAAAACTTTTCACAGGTGCTCTGTTTGCGTGCACCGTCCTGATTCAAACCGCATTCGTCGCCGCTGGCTCCCTTCTGTTCAACACCTTGTACTCAGCAACACTGCGTGTTTGGCCTGGACTCTCATTCATAGGAATCGGTGCTATTTACATGGTTAATCTAGTCCTTGTTATGTAAGTTCAAAATCAATACAGGCTTTGTATGGTAACTATCTTGCAGGGCAGTCCTTTTGTTCAACAGGAAACCTCCTTTTTGCATACCCTGTGGAACAAAAGCTTCAGCCTGCAAGGTGGCAGCCGTGCAAACCCTCTATAGGTAATTGCATGATTCACGGGAGTTTCTCTGTCTTGATGGTTTTTCTTTGAAATCGGCCCTCACTGTCAATTGGGCGGTTAATGAGTGAAGCCGAACGAAGTCGGCGGATGGGTTTACATGTGGAAGCGTGAATAGAATATTTTTCACAGGTTGTAGGGTATTACCGAGTGCCTGTTCCAGTTTAGGGAAATATTTCGATTCACCCAACGCAAGACAAGATAAATTACATTATTTGTCAAATATTTAGAATTTACAAATGGCCGTTGCAACA